TATTTTTACAAAAATATTTTCAAAATTACTTATTAAAAATATTTTCAAATAATTTTTTTTCAAAGTTATTTCATGTAAACACCTAATCCGCCACATTTGATGCAACATTCCGCAAAATTTTATTAAGCTAACATGCATTATGCTATTAGAGAACCTTGTTCACAATATTCTAAAGAATATATCTACAAATTTTCGTGAGTTTTGGACATTTTATTGTTAAAATATAGGCAAAAAACGTTCACGCTATTACTTTTGACCGGGACTGTATATAACTTTTTTATAATTAATTTCATAATTTAATTATATAATTTTTTAAAATTTTATATATCATTGAAGAAAAAAATTTCTTTATCACTAATTTAAAAATAAAATTTCATTAATAAATTTATAAAGATTAATATAAAAGTTATTCTTTATAATAAATTCTATAATATTATATGTATGTAAATTAAGATAGAATAAGCTTTAAATTTAAAAAGTTAATAATAAAAATTTTTATAATTATTTAAAAAATTAAATGTATTATTATATGATATATAATTAAACCTAATATTTAAAAAAAAATAATCAGAGGTTTATAATATTTTAGCAGGCAAAATTGCCTGCTAAACCTGACAGTTTAAGAGATAATAATTATTCTAAATGTTATTATGATGATTTTTGACAAGAATATTTTTATATTTTCTTTTATGCTTTATTTCTTTGTCAAAATCTAATAAGAATTTGTATTATAAATTTTTTGAAATATCTCCATCATTGCCACAATTATTGGAATGCTTTTTTTTGATGACATTTTGATAGTTTGAATTTCAGATGGTATATATTTGTCTAACTTCAAATATTCATGTCATATTATTGCCTTCTTTTATAAATGATGACAAAATTTAAATTTAAGTTAATGGTAAAAGAGAAATAATGGTCTACAAAGACGAGAACTGGTAGTATTCAAAGAATATGATAAGATAATTTGTATGTATGAAGCTTTTATGGTTTCGTTATTACTGCATAAAGAATAATTATCAAATGGCAGTGATTATTTTTTCGTCGGTAGGAAAACAAAGCATTGCTACTTTTTAGTGCGTTAACTAATGTAAATTGGAGGATACGTGCCATGTTCTGTTCTAATCTTCAGGCAGTTAAAATATTTGGAAAGGTAAAAAAGTAAATGTGCCTTATTTCTTTAATTTAGGTATTTAATATAAAGAGAAGAGTGATAGAATAATAGGAAATCCAATTTAAAAATACAAAATTAAATTGGTATATTACGAACGATGCTTCCAGCTAAATTTTGCCTCTATGTAAACGTGTGCAAAAGTATTCCCAGCTTCTTTGCTTTTTCGTAACCAATAAATGGTTTTATGCATATCAAGTTGTACTCCCATTCCACGATCATAAGCATAAGCAAGTGCAGCAAAAGAACCAAGATAACCATTTTCCATCGCTTTACAATACAAGACGTACGACTTTTTTTGATCCTTTTTTACACCGATTCCATTATCGTAACATAATGCTAAAGCGAAATAAGCAGCTGGATTCCGTTGGTTCACAGCTTGTCGTTGCCAATAAACTGCCATGGTGGAATCCTCTGATGTTCCAATTCCACGACTATAACAATATCCAAGGAAATATTGTCCATACGAATTGTTTGATTCTGCGGCTTTTTTAAATTCTTGAAATGCTTGTTGTCTTTGCGATTCTTGTAAATAGAATACCCCTAGGAGTACTTGGTTTTGTGGTTGTTGATGATGTGTTAGATATTCAATCATTTCTGATCTTATTGATTCGGTTGTTCGTAGAAAATTTGTTATATAGGTTTCCCATCTATCATGTTTCATTCCGTGGTCGATCTCAGAGAAAAATTCTTCGACCGCTTTTTCATAATTTGGGAATATCTTATCCTCGATGTTATCGTTTTTATTATCATATTCCTCTGCTTTTTTATACTCATTATTGGTACTCTCGTCATATTCATCAAATTCATTATTGGTAATTTCATTATTCTCCTCATTAACAATGATATTATTCTTCTCGTATTCATCATTGGTAATTTCGTTGTTCTCGTCGACTTCATTATTGGTAATTTCGTTATTCTCGTCGACTTCAATATTGGTAAACTTGTTATTCTCGTTAACTTCATTATTGGTAATTCTGTTGGCAAATAAAAATGTAACCAATGGGACAAAAAAAAGTAAAGGAACTAGGAGAAAATTAACTGAGGAAAAAAGAAAATCTAATATTGTCATCTCCATATAGTTCGTTATGGAATGGAAAAAAATTACGTATCGGTATTATGTGTTGGGAGTTCTGCTTTTAACAAAGAACGATGACGATATTTGCCTTTCTAAGATATTAGATTACTTGTTATAACGGTATCATGTATTCGAAAGAATACCGATACCCTGATACCGATACGTAGCTTGATTTATTGAACTGTTACATGTAATAACGATGACAAAAATAGAGCCAAGTGTAATTTTTGGTAGGTAGGTCAAATACATGTATTAAAAATTCAAATTTCTATTCAGCGTAATTAATAATTCAGATGCTGAATTATCGTTACATGTGTCATTTAGTATTGCTTTTACATTTGAGTTATTAATTTAAGCTGAATTAAAGTTTTGGATAGAAAACTGAGTGATGCCATTGTACAAATTAGTTGAATGAATGCTAAATTTAGACATTCACAAATAGTAAATAGTTTTTGTAAATAACCGTAATCCCAATTAATTCGGATTTCAACATTAGCGATAACTAAGGTTTATGAGAAAATTCATAAAATGATGAAACGTACTAGTTTCGCAGACTTTTTTGCCACGTTTGGTCTTCTTTCTATTTATACAGCGTCTCGCAAAGGAAACGTAAATCAGGGAAAAATACAAAATTTGAATGACTCGTTAGAGAAGAATTATCGTAGATTAAAAATAGATTTTTCATTTGTTCGTTAATAAAAAATCACTTAATGTAATTTTTATTCATCTGTCATTTAATTCAGAAGCTAACGGTTTTTTTTAGCTTTCATTTAATATAACCGAGTTGGACAAGGAATTTAAAGCCAAAAAGACAAGTATAAAAGCTTCTTTTTTCATTACACTACCTCACAACATATTTTCTCGTTATTATAAATCATGATTCTAACAACTTTTATCTTGAAATGTCTCGAGTTTCACTTGAAAATGTACCAGAATATACTCTCAGGATATTAATTCCCGTAAATCACAGCTGGTTTTGGCCTCTCTGCAAAAATAAAAGAGACTAGAAAAGTCAAAACTCAGTCATGCATGCATTCTTTCAGATCATTATGAGCTTTTGGGTCAGACGGACAAAAATTTGCTGATAATAAATTACTTTGTTGGCTTGGCCTGCCACACTGGTCAAACAAGTAGGTTTCATCTTTGGGTAAACTCGGGACTAAAAATTACAATCTATCCCTTGTTTTTGTCTAAAAGCAAAAAATATATAATTTAAACGAGAAAAACAATAATCATTATTAGATCACCGATCCAATGCCTGAAAACAGTTAAACAAACCTAATATGTATAATTATCGACCTTATCGACTACAAAAGCTATCCATGGTTCGTTTTTTCGGTCCATACGAGGGATCCACGGTTTGAAGAGTTTTTGATCCAATAAATAATGTTTTGTCAAAAGACAATTGCGAAAAATAATAAATAAGCTAACTATAAATGCGACAAATTGAAATTCACGTTATACAAGTATCCGGTGACTTGTAATACTTTAAATTCATGTGATTCATTCCTTATTCCCAAATCAAGTTTTTTAAGGATCAGCCCCTAAAACTAATAGACGCCGAATTTTTCTTAGACTGTGTGTGACAAATATCAAATGTACTTACATATTTCGTTTATTTGAAAAGAAAAACAATTTTTGTAGAAATAAATTCAAACGACGGAAAATAAGCTTCATTTTGAAATAATATATGAAACAGACATCTCAAGTTTTCAACTTAACTGTTAAATTCAATAGAAAGTGACCTAAAAAAAGAAATGCTGATTTGTCTTTGAAGTTCATCACTACTTGTAAAAGCTAAATCTTTCCGTCACAAAAATTGTATTTACTTAAATACTATTCAATGTTATATTACCTGTTAAATGATTATTAATTTGGTCATAATGGCAAATTCATCATTATACCACTAAAAAAAGTGAATTATCCGGTCAACGCTCACAAAAATATTAAACAATAGTGCATAAATTATTCAATGTAACTTAATAGGTCACTGTTTTATGCAATGAACTCATGGTTCACAACATGTGTTATTTTAATTTATTCTATTAGTGGAGAAATAAATGATTTTTTGACGAAACCAATATATTTTCAAGATGTTTTTTCGTACATGTGTACAAAGTATATTCTAGAAAAAATTGCAAAGCATTACTTATTAAAACCACTAGTCAACTTAATTCATATTTCAATTTGGCTTATGAATTAAATAATGAGATTCAAATATTATTACTTTGTGTAATTACAAGTTGAAAATAATTTTATAGAAATATATTTAAAGATATAGAAAATATATTTGTAATTTAAAAATTTTTAGTTGATATTTATTAAATAAATTCCAGTCAAAAAAAGGCTTAATTTTGATAAATTTCATAATAAAATATAATAAAAATATTATTTTTATTATATTTTACTATATTTTACTATATTTTATTATGAAATTTATCAAAATTAAGCCTTTTTTTAACTGGCATTTATTCAATAAATATCAACTAAAATTTTTTTTTAAATTACAAATATATTTTCTATATCTTTAAATATATTTCTATAAAATTATTTTCATACTTGCTTATAAAAATTTTTTTAATAATACTTTAACCAGAATAGCCTCTAGCCTATCATCTTTAGCATATGATTCTACAAAATATTACTATGTTACACTTTGTGATCTTAGAAAATTTTATTTCCATCATCTTAAAGAATATAATGCCAAATTTTCATAAATTTTAGCAATTTTTTATTAAGTTATAGGTGAAAAACATGTCCACTATTACTTTTCATGCTGATTATATTATATAGAAGTTAAGTTAAAATAAATAAGATTTTATTTAATTATATGAACTTATATATATTTTATTAAGATAAAATAAAGTTGTTTTAAAATAAAAAACAAAAATGAATATCTTTAAATAATAAATTAGAGTTATATAAGATTATTAATATTTTTAGAAGATACTTATAAAGAAATAAATAAAAAATAAATAATAAATATAAAAAAGTAATGAATTAGATATATTAATAAAATAAGAGTTAAAAAGAAATTTACTAAGAATTTATTTATAATTAAAATAATTTATTATAATTAAATAACTTATCTTGATATATATTAAATAATTATAATATAATAAGTTATATATAATATAATATATAATATAATAATAATTTATAAACTAATATTAATTAATTATTATAATTTTATTATATATTTTTCTCTTAAGAATAAATATTTTCATTATTTTTATAATTATTCAAATTATTAAATAAGTTCTTTAATATTTTTCAGATTTTAATAGATTCTCAAATAGTGTTACTGTAGTGACATAAAATTCCATAATTTCTTAATCTTTTCCTAGTTATGAAAAATTATATTTTATTATAATTTTATTTATTTTATAATTATTCTTATTTTTTATATTAATTATTACTATATTTATTATTACATTTCTATTTTTAACATTATATTTTATTTAATATTTGGAATCTATATTTTTATTATTTTATAATACGATATTTATATACATAGTAGAATAGTATAATGGAAGATTATTTTTAATTTTGATAGAATAGTTACATTGGATAATGATCTCAAATATCTTTTCACATCCTTTAATATTCTGCAATATTCTCTCACATTTTTTTATGTCTTTCCACATCTTTCCATGTCTTTTCATATCTTTTCACATCTTTCAATGTTCTTTCACATACTTTGATATTCTTCAATATTCTTTGACATCTTTTAATATCTTTTAACATATTTTGACATAATCCATTCATATTTATTTATACTATAGTACTTTAATTATGTATTGTATATTAAATAGTATTAGCTAGTAATACTATAATAAGTTTTATATTCAAAAAATATATAAAAGGACCTGCTATCCCAGCTAAAATAAATAGTTTTGGAAAGAATTATTTGGAAAATATAAATTTAAAGATTACTTTTATAATCTAATTATATTAGTATTCTTTCTTTCACTCAGTTTTATTTCTTTGATCATATAAAGTTGATTTTGGATTTTTGGATTATAATATTATATTGAT